CAGACGTCCAACAAAGATGCGATTTATGTCCAATCCCTTTTGGCCTCTTCTACATCTCCTTATTCCATACTTTCTTAAGGACTTTACCTCTTTCTCGCTGGATGATTAGCACCCAGATTAGACTGTAATCACTCTCGTATCTTTGGATAATTTCGCTTCCGATTTGTCGAAATCGAGCCCCATTTTTGTGCTCTCTTCTTCTTACAAAGTCTACGCTAGTTGCTGAGGCACAGCCTCCATCTTCCCAACATAATTCCATTTTATGGAATGTTGTTTGGAGGTTGGCACTACAAATTAAGAGTAACCTATTCCGACATCCGATTTAGCAAAAGAGGAGTTTAGGCAATTTGTGAGCTCAACAATTGCTTCATCTGGTCATCCTCATGGATCTGTCGCCGGCGTGTATCTTCATCGTTTTAGCAAGCAAGTTTGTGCAATATGAAGTTAATTTGATAATTCATCCTTCTGCCCAGATTCAGAATAATTTTTCTTGTGCGTCGCCTCTATTCCTGCCTAGTTGTACACTTCATTATTTTATCAATTCATCAGAGTAGGTTTACGTCGTTTTTGTAACTTGGGCGCACCTTGTCTGAAGTCGTCTGCTCTCATGGTTATCATACTTCCCAGCGTCGGAACTGATAGTTGCGATTTCAAAAAATCATGTAAGTAGGTCTAACTCACTCCATTGTGAGAAAATTCGACTACCAGTCTTTCCTCGTCTGAAACGAAATATGTTGAATACAGCCCTTGTGGTAGATTTACTTGTAGTTTCGAGACATTCTTAGAAAGGAATTTTTAATTTTGCCTTTACAAAAGCTTAACTTATCACCTACTCTGATCACTGAGGCATCTAAAAAGAGTACATTTTTGTTCATCTTCATCTACATTGCCAACTCAATATTGAAGTCAATCTGGTTAATTAAAAACAAGAAATTATCTAAACTATCCTTGCCATGCTACCAGATGGCAAAGTAGTCATCCATGCATCTAACTAACAGTTTCGGTGTCAATCTTACCAGTTCCATAAAGCGTTCCTCCATTCTTGACATGTAATTATTAGCTAAAATGGAAGCCAAGAAAGATCCCATTGCGTGGCATTGCACCTGTTCATAAACATTATCATTAAAGGTGAAGTATGTGCTGCTCATGGATAGATTAAAAAGCCGTAAGATTGAGCTTTTGCTCACATTTGCTTCCCCAATCATTTCTGGGTGCTCATCTCGTCTGATTGTTAGCGCTTCAATAGCTTTCTGAACTGGGATGTTAGTATACATTGATACCACATCAAGAATAACCAAAAGAGTCTACTCTTAATACTCTGTTGATCCATTAATCTGGCAAATTCATATGAATTCTTCACTGAAAATTTCCCAAACTCAGCCAATTTCGTTAGTTGTCTACATTAGAAACGTGAGATGCTATGCCGAAGGTGCCCTAACATCCCTCTGAACAAATGAATTCATTTT